AACTGGATAGCGCATCTCTAATATTAAAATTAAAGCCAAAAAAATTTTTGGCGGCCATTTTGTGAGGACCCACGATTTGTTATGATGCGCTTGAATTTTTAAGAAAAGAAATCAAAAAAAAGAAGAAGAAAAGGATTGAAAGTATCAAGAAATTAAGAGAAAAAAAAGCAATATCAACAAAGTAGTAAAAATCGGTTGTAAAATGTCTAACGAATGACCGTATTCTTTATATAATTTATCTAGATTCTTATGTTGATATTCAAAAAGTATGATTATAAGTACAAATTGAAATATAATACTCCTCTAAGTAAGTAAATAATCTTTTTAACGTTTTTACTTTAATATAAGAGTTGAAAAACATTTTATTTATTGTTGTAAATATATATATATATATATATATATATATATATATATATATATATATATATATATATATATTACGTTACTATTTATAATATAAAATAGTTTTGTGTTTGTAAAAGTTATAGTTATTGATGATTAAATAATACCAATTTACTTAATGTTTTTCTTATATTTTTCCCTAACATTTTCTCAGTGGCTTGTTTTCCCAGATCATAAAATGGAACTTTGCAATAGCATTGAACAATTATTTTGATTCATTTAATTTTCATTAATAGCAGTATTTTCATTAATAGCAGTATCAAACATATGTTCATGCAAGTCTCTAAATAAAACAGATCCTAAACTTTCTAAAACTTAAATAGATATAACTTCTGGGATATTTTTGGACTGTGGGAGTTTTCCAGGTATTTTTGCTAGCATTCTTGTAATTTTTTTTTCATTTCTTCACAAACAGTAATAACATCTCTTGTTGGTTTTATAAGACCACCACTGTCCTTTACTTTAAGAAAATTGGGTTCTGGAGCATGTTTTTTAGAATCAAGTGCATCACAACATAACATACAAAATATTTGCTTTTTTGCCATTTTAACAACGAAGCCCGATATATAAAAGATAGCTGCTTTTTTATACTCAGTTACCAATGAAATATTAGTTATAAAAGAATAATCATGATCAGTAGTCTTAGATGTTGTTTCAGATAAGTCATATTTCCTTATTATGTTTACTGATGTAATATCCAAATTGCTGTTATTTATCATAACTGAATCATCTAAGACATTTAAAATATTTTCTGCTTGTAATTTTTCACAATTTCCTGATCCTCCTTCAATATGGCTCTGAAGTAAAAGTCGCTTATATGCTGCAGTGAATTGTTGCGCTGTTGGGTTATTGTTAAATTTTCCTGATCCTCGTATTGAACCATAAAATAACTCAAGATGGTCTTGACTTAACTTATATGTTAGAAGATATTTCAAAGGTGCTTCAGGAATTTCAACAAGGTTATAAAATATCTAAATGTGTGAAATATATATATATATATATATATATATATATATATATATATATATATATATATATATATATATGTATATATATATGTATATATATATATATATGTATATATATATATATGTATATATATATATATATATGTATATATATATATATATATGTATATATATATATATATATGTATATATATATATATATATATATGTATATATATATATATATATATATATATATATATATATATATATATATATATATATATATATATATATATATATATATATATATATATATATATATATATATATATATATATATATATATATATATATATATATATATATATATATATATATATATATATATGTAATACATACAATATATTTAACTTTTTCATAAAGACAAAATTTTCAGATACAAATAACTTTACAAAATATTTTAACCTGTTTAATACTTTTTATTGCCATTAAAAATCCAATGAACCCAGTTTTTCTTCTTGTTTTATGTAACAATCTATGAGATAAGTCTTGTAAGTGTGAAATATAATCATGCGTCATCAAGAAATTTATCCCATATATGCTTATTACTCATTTTTAGTGCAGATTTATAACCTTTAGTAAATGGATTTCTTGATTTTAAAATGTCAAACAATCTATCAAATATTCTAATAAATTTAACTGTTGCATCACTTCCTTGAAACTGTATTAATTTAAGATCATTGCAACAGAACTCTATTGCATTAGCTACACTTGAACCAATTGCCTGAGCAGTAAGATTCACTTTCATTTTTTGTTGCCTCCAATTGATATGTGCTAGTCTTAATTTATTTCCAAGGCGTAATCCTTCATTTTCTTGCAGTTTTTGAAGATAAACTATATATTTCCATGAAATTACATTGTTTTCGCTATCAAACAAAACATCACCATCTGCGAAGCAATTCCGAATTAGCTTAAGCATGTGACAAATATCGAGGAGAGTATGAACTTTTTTATCAGAGTTAAGAGGATGGGTGAATAAATTGTTCATTTTGCAAGCATCAAAACACCAAGATCTGATAACATCGAAATGTGACATGAGGGACCATCACATGTTAGTGATATGACTTCAACACCGACATCTGTCAATCGTTTAATAGATAATTTTACTATGTTTGCTCGTTCGGCACCATTTAACCCATCTATAAAAAAATAATAGCATGGAACTTTCCATGAACTGTTTATACTAACAGCCATGAGAACTAGGGTATCTTTTGCAACCGGGGATGAATCATCTTGTATGCCATTCCCAAGATCAACATATCCCTTAAATGCTTTTCCATCCCAAGATATGTTTTTTAATGGCTATTTCATCTAACATAAGTGAGCAAATGACTTTAGATCCTAATTTTTCAGCTTCTATAACCTTGTATTTAAGTGCTGCAAAAGCTGGCTTTGTAAAACCTGGTTCTGCTGAAACTTTTCCATACCATTTCCTAATTTGTGCTTAATGTGGTAAATAAAAATTAAATGTTTTTCGCACATAATCATAAGCTTTGCTTGAATAAAACTGCAGGGTAAGTGCAAAGGATTTGATTTCTTCTTAATATTTAAATCCTTTACCATAATTTTTATGCATAATCATTCTTCTGGTTAGAGCCTGAGGAACTTCTGAAAATGTTTTTAAAAGCATTTCTTTACAATTTGATGATATTTTTTGTTTTTGACTTGATATTTTTACTACTGATTTAAGAGATGTTTTTTTTTTCATTCTTCGAGATTTTTGCTGTTCTGCTTTTACTTTCTTTTTTAAAGATCCAGTTATCTTGTTTCTATGATCTGTTATTTGTTTTTCTGAAGTTAAACTGCAGTTATATATTTTTTTGGGGGAGCCAAGTTTCATGCTGAAAGCTATAACACTTGTTTCCAAATCACTTTTTTCAGAATTTTCAAAAGTTGACCTATTAATAGGAACTTTTCTCTCTTTCATATTCTAATATTAAAAGAAAAAATATATATTTATATATAGCTGTATAATTTTTATATTAAATATTATATCTAACTAGAAGGAACCTCTATGTTGTGTTTACTCAAAGAGCTTAGCTAATAGTTCATGCAGCATTTATAAAATAAAAGCATACAATAGCAATATGGTTATTATATGTTTTAGCTGCTTACCATGCAGTTGTGTTATAAACCCACACTGCATAGGGTAATTGAGAACTAAAAGATACATATTAAACAAACCTGTGCAATGCATAAAAACATAATCAAACATATACCTTTTTTAAGTGGTCAGGGAATTTTTTAAATCATTTAGGAAAAGAATTTTCCCTTAACCTAACATGTTCTAGGAAACTTTTGTTTTTATGATGATTCATCATCAGAGATTCCATCACTATCACTTCTTTTACTGCCACCATGTTTTCTTTTATTACAACCAAATGCAACACATTGTGTCCCTCGCTTTTTGGTATTTTCTCCAGACATTTATAGAATAGTTGTTTTACTGAAAAATAATAATTATTATTTTAAAAATTTATTAATAATTTTCCAAACGCTTTATCTATGTTAAGTACAAAAAAACATAAAGTTAAACCACCAAACTAAGGAAATAGCTTGTTCACCTAACAATATTTTAAATAAATAGTTTTTCTCCGTGGGTCCCCCCAATATGGCGCTGGCGAAAAAATTTTGGCTTCAAAAATTACGCTGTTTCCTTAAGAGATGCGCTATCCAGTCATTATATAGATCAGTGGCCTCATGTAGCACAATTTTTTTTAAAATTTTTGTCCAGTCCAAAACGTATGCATATGGTTTCTTCATTAAGCAATATTTTCACAAATTTTTCAAAAATTTATTAAGTCCATATTTCTAATTGCAAAAGTTTATTAGGTCCATATTTCTGATTTATATTTGCATGAAATGTCACTAATATTATACTTTAATGAATATCAAAATATTAAATATTTTGAGTATTGGGTAAATGTATAAATTGAGTATTTAATTTGGGAAAGTAGTATAGAAGAACAGAAGGCTGCAAAAATACTTAAATGCATCAATTGAGTATTTGATTTGGCAAAGCAGTAAGAATATATTCCGAGCATTTTTATTGGCTTTGTTACTGAGATTTTAGTAATGTATAGTAAAATCTCAGAATTAAGTATCAAAGCAAAACAGCAATTGTACTATAATAAGTACAGTACGTACATAAAATACGTTTTTTTTTTTTAGTTGTTTGTGCAACAAACAAAAAAACATCAAGAACATGATAATATAAAAAATAAATCTAATTCAGTTCAATTAAATTTAAGATGAAGATTTTATTAACATTAATATATTTTTATGAGGAACAGAAGCAAAAATCTTAAAGCATTAAGTTTTATGAAATAATTTTATTAAGGATAAACAAAAAAAATTCCTAATACATCTTTAATTTAAAATTAAGCAAGTATGTTCATTTCACTTTTAAATTTTTTTAAATGTGTGTGTGTCTATGTGTGTATTTATGTATGTTTGTATGTATGTGTGTATATATATACATATATATAAATAAAAAATATATAAATATATTATTATATATATGTTTCTTTTAAAATATGTATTTATTTTAAAATATTTGCAAATATATATATATTTTTTTTCACCTAGGATTTAATGTAGAAACTGTTGAATATAAGAATATCAGTTTTACAGTGTGGGATGTAGGTGGTCAAGACAAAATTCGTCCTCTATGGCGCCATTATTTTACCAATACTCAAGGTCTCATTTTTGTGGTTGATAGTAATGATAGAGAGCGAATGTCTGAAGCTTCAGCTGAGTTAAATAAAATGGTAATTTAATTGACTAATGACAAGAAAGCTTTTTATGTTACTATTTTTTAGATCCTTATTTAAATAACTCCAAAATAAAATTAGAATAAATTTCTGCCTTTTTAGATTTTCTAATTAAAAATATTTAAAAAGAATTTGTTTAAAATATGTATGGGCATTAAATTGGAGGCTTTTAAAAAAAATAAATTTAGATAAATGAAGATGAACTTAAAGATGCAACCATTCTAGTATTTGCCAATAAACAAGATCTACCACAGGCCATGTCCGTTTCTGAAATGACTGAAAAACTTGGTTTACATAATCTTCGAGGTCGAAAGGTATGTCAAACAGTTTATATTTTTACTTTTTTAGTAATGTTTTTTTGATATTATAAGATTTTCTGTTTCACTCTTGTATTTTTTAAGATACACACAGCGCCGGCCTTAGCTTTTTTGACAGGTTGGGCAAAACTTGTGAACGCGCCCCTAGGTATATATGGGTATGTTGTTACCATTAACAACGAGACCAATGCTCTAAAATGATGAACAAGAGTGCTAAAGGGAATATATAGTTTAATACAAAGAGATCCATATTGTGCATCAAGTTTCTTATTTAATTAATTTTTTATTAAAATTATAAACTTAGACTTTTCATGATATGGGTTTATAGAAATGAGTGACTAAATAAATAGACAACGCAACGCTGCTTTAAAAATAACAAATGTTTTTATTAAACATATAATAAATCCTCTAACTATATAAACAAGAGTTATTAAATTTTAAAATCTAACTTTTCTAGCTTTTTTGTCCGTGAAATCTCTTATCAAACTAGAAAAATCTAAATTTTCAGCTATATCTTGCTCGATCGATAACATAGATAGAGAATTAAGTCGATCTTGCAACATGGTATTTCTTGAATATGTTTTGATTAACTTCATTTTAGAAAAACTACGTTCTCCACTAGCAACAGTAACAGGTATTGCAAGAAGAATCGCAGAACAATCCATGTATTTGAATATAACTCTTGTAGACAATGTTTTTTAATAAGATTCAGTACAAAAAGTGGTGTCATCTCTTTTGTATTTATTTCATTTTCAACATTGCTTAATTTATCTTTTATAAAAAACTGCACACTTATTAGTTCGTCGCATAGCAAAGCACCATCGATTTCTGATTTTGTATTTACAGTTAATTTTTCTTGTAATTGTTTACACAATTTTAAAAGTTCATTCTTGATGGGCAAATTATCCAAATTAAATAAAAAACTCCATATATTTACATATTCATTAAGTTGTTCAAATATTTCATTTATTGGCGACAGGCATGTATCTAATAAAGGGTTAAAAAATGTCACTTCAAGTTTCTTCTCAGGATTTTGAATTGGTTCGTCAAAACATTTATATCATAATGATGTTTCACTCGTCGCACTCTTTTAAGCGGCTTAAAAATTGCATCGATGTTCAACTCTTCAGCTAACTCTTTGGCATCAACCGTTGCTTGTTTAAAGCCAAACGTTCGGTAATTTTCCAAAAATGTGATGCATTTTTTCAACATTTCAGCGCACTGTACTAGATCCATGTCTTTGGCTTGCATTGCTTTACTAACAACGTTTATTTGGAATAGTACATTGTACCATGCAATTAAAGAAACTAAAAAGCTATAGTCTTTTAATTGTTCTGCTAATGTTTGCGCTTCGTGTGCAATATCGGGAGTTTTGGTTTCAGTTTCATATATAGTAATTAAAGCATCATGTACGCTGCTTATTTGGTATCGGATGGCTTTGAGGCTCTCAATTTTGGCTTCCCAACGAGTCTCTATAATCGTTTAAAAGTGAAGTTTGTTGTATGACTAAGTAAAACATTCCAGCGTGAAGTTGATGCAGAAAATAATAAGAATAATCTTTGTATTATACCAAAAACGTTAATGGAATTTAGTGAAGACTGCGCTGCGTCACAAATAACCAAATTGAGAGAATGACTTCCACATGGAAGGTAAAAAGCCAAAGGATTCAAATCTAATATTCGCTTTTGTAGATCTATTTTTTTACCTTTCATATTTGCACCGTTATCGTAACCTTGCCCTCGACAAAAGCTTATATTCAGTCCAAAATCTTTTAAAGCTCCAATTATGATTTCTGTTAAACCAAGACCTGTCGTGTTGTTAACATTGAAAAACCCTAAAAAGTGTTCATTTATTTTTATAGGATATTCTGATATATTTACAATTCTAATCGTAAGCGAGAGTTGTTCTTTGTGAGATACGTCAGGAGTGCAGTCAGCAATAATAGAATAATATGTACTTTTTAGAGCTTTGGATATAATTATGATGGTTACTTTTGATGCCATTGTATCTATCATTTCATTTTGAATGGTTTTTCCACAGTAATGATCAGAAATATCTCCTTTGAGAGCTAGCGTGGCGTGGTTTAACATGATAGGATCAAATTTAGCGAGTAATTGTACCAATCCTAAAAACTTGCCGTTATTAATTGCATACAATTTATCAGAAGAACCTCTGAAGGCCATATTATTTGTTGCCAAGTATAAAGTAATGTTCATCAATCGTTCAAGAACACTTCGCCACCTTAAACTGTCCTTTTCGATTAGTTTTTGTTCTTGTTTATCAATAGTTTCACCAGCTTTCATTCGTATTTCTGTCTCAATCCATAGTTGATAAGCAATTCTGTGTGATATACTATTTTCGTGAATTTTTAATGCTTCTGTTAAATTCTTCCATTTATTGAATCCATTTCCGTTTAACTTTAAATTCATGTTGAAATCAAAAAGTTTGCAGCAAAAACAAAATACTGCATCTTTAGAAACTGAGTACACAAGCCAACGTCGTGAAATAACCTCACCATTTGAAAGTTTTCAGTTGTAATAAGCATTTGAAAAATGTTGTCTTCTATTATCGCGTGGATATGTGTCCAAATTCACTTGTATTGCACCTAAATTAATTACATAATCAACAAATTGAATGTTGTGATGAATTGGCCACAAACCACAGTCTGAGTAATCGATTTCTGTTTCTTTGGTGCGATCATTTACATCACCATCTTGGCCATCATTTTCGTTATCGATATCTTTTTCATCGTAGTGAACATTTCCAACTGACACTATTTCGTCTTCTTCATCGCTGGTTGATGTATCACTAAGTACATGCGCAACATTTTCTCCTTCCTTTATTTTATTACAATCACTATTTTCCGATGTAAAAAAATTTTCAAGTTTTTTATAATTTTTCTTCAAATTATCAACTTTTTCTGCTTTACGTTTTCTGTATTGAGCACCAGATGCTTTCTTATTATTATGAGTTTTAAAAACATTTTTTTCTTTATTATGAGTACTCTCCATTGATTGCTGCTGACAGTTTCTATTTGTCTAAAATTTAAAAATAAAAAATTACTCGCAAGCTAATAATTCATAAACAATCATTATTTATACTTACCTGCTTTTTATTACCGCAAAATTTGAAAACTTGACAAAACCTGAATTTGAATCACAAATACAACTTTAAATTTCTTCTACAAATTAATAAACCACGCGCTTGCAACTTGTACCGAAAATAATGTTTAAAATTTAAACTTTAAATAAATGGAACACAAAATAATTGGCGCCGAGAAAGATACAATTAAAAAAATGATTTTAAGTAACAAAATATATGCTATGATTGAAACACTTTTAATCAAATTATTAATTTTGCATAAACAATTTTTAACAGTGTAATAATACAATAAATAAATTATTTAAAGAAATTATTTTTATAAAAAAAACAAACATTCGAAAAAATAACAAAAAATCGAAAATCGAAATCGAAAAAATTTAGGTTGGGGATCGTCCATAAACTACGAATCGCAAAATATTTTTTAAGAACAGGAGTAGGAGATATTAGGCTCTTTTACGCGGCGATTTTCATTTGACTTAATTTCCTATATTAATTGTTTATTTAAATTAAGACTGTGCGAGGGAAAACTTTTGATCTTTTTTTGTTTTGTTTTTTGTGAAACTTTGCGTTACGTAATTTATGGACGATCCCTTGACTTATTTTTTCTATTTATTATATTGTTAAAGTTTGCGTACAACGTTTGGCGCCCCAGTTTCGTGGCGCCCTTGGGCGGCGCCCAACCTCGCCCCCCCCCCCTAAGGCCGGCACTGGATATGAAGTCATATGAATTTATGAAGTCATTGCATAGCAAAACATAAAATGGAATATTAGATTAAAATATAACATTTTTAAAAGTATTAAAATGGAATAGAAAATTTAAAAAAATGTTTGTAGAAATACTAATTTCTTTGGAAGGAAGCTCTGAAGTTTTAAATTGCTCTTTCTCTCTTTTCTCTATGCATGTTTATTTTATTGTTTGACTAACTCTTTTTTTTTTAGTTATATTATTGAAATAAAAATATATTATTTTTTTTATAGAAATATGCTTATTTTTGTGTTTTGAAAACTTTTAGTAAACAGTGTTTCAAAAATATTGTATGTTTATTTTAAAAAAACAAAAAAACAAGAGAAGTTTAGTTTTAACTTTACCTCGTACAAGAAAAATACTTCTAATATATTTTTGTATGTTTTTTTTTTGTTAATTTTGTTTTTTTTCTTTATTTTATTATTTTTTCCCTTGTTTTTAGTTTATTTGTTTAATCTTTTCTACTCTTCTTCAAAATTATTTTTTTAATTTTTCCAATTATCATTTTGTATTTGTTTTCTCTGTTAAATTGACAGTTTCACTGTTTGCAATCTCATTGCAATTAACAAATAGCCTTTAAATTTCCAATGTATTTAAAGGTTATTCATATAAACTTCACAACGTTTATTCAAATTTTTCTTTAAACTTTTTTTTTTTTTTTAATTATTATTTCTCAAGAAGACACAAAAAAAATCAACCAAATTAAAGGATAAAACATTTGCTCTTATATATTGCATATATTGTATAAGTTTTTGTATTGCATAACTTAGATTCTTGTTATAAAAACTGATTTAAAACTACCATGTCAGAGTATACTTAAAATATCATCACAAAGCATAGCTTATTTATTCAAAATTAATAATGATTTTATGAAATAGTTCTTCTAATGATTTGATAGTTTAAAGGTAATGTTTAGGTGTTAATAAATTATGAAAAAAATTGTTCTTTTAACTTTTCCTTCTTTTTATTACTTATATATTTTTTTAAACTGAATTAAATAAAAATTTAAAGTTTAATTAAATCTTTTTTAAACACTTTTTAATTCATTCCTATTTAATTTCTAAACTTAGCAAGGAGTTGAAGGTATATGAGAAAATTTGTCCCAGTTTGCCGAGATAAAAATTCCTGCCTGTAAAAAATTGTAACCTATTACATTAAAAAAAACCTCTTTTTAAAAGTTAAAAAAAAAAAAAAGTAGAAGAATCATTGGCAGAAAAATGATTGTAGAAGTAATTGTATTATTAGAATTTTCATTGTAGAAGGATCATTGGCAGAAAAATAATTGTAGAAGTAATTGTATTAGTAGAATTTTCATCGTAAAAGTAGAGGAATCAATGAAGATCCTAATAAAAAATACAATGGTAATTTTGCTCAATTTACAGCAGATAAATGTTCTTCTTCCTTGATAAAACAATATAGATTATTTAATATTTTTGTAACACTTTCTTTACAAAAAAGAAATGCTGTAAAATATTAATGAATTAATGCTGTAGAAAAAATCTTCAAAGCGAATGCACGGCAGTTGGTGGTAACAATGTTGCTACTAAAGATAAATGGAAACTAAACTTTTAAATGTCAAGTGAACATTTTATTTTTGCAATGCTTTATCAATTCAACAAACTATAGTGAACTTAGCGTTGAAAAAAAGTATGCCATTTGTATTACTTAAAAAATACAGGTTCTTTATGGATGTACATTATCTAAAGTACTCAATGCAACTAAGGCCTGGTACACGTTTTTCCGAACAAAAATATATAACATTTTTCAATTACAATATATGTAAGGTTTTTCATCCAAAAGTATAACATGTTTAGTATGTATGGAAAGATTATTTTAACCACTATTTTAATCTGGTAAAAGTAATGCGGTAAAAGTAATGTTAACCAATGTCACGTTAGATTTAGATAACCTATGGTAGTGTTTATTTTTCTACCAAAGTTATTTTGTATAACTAATCATAACTTTTAGCCACATTTAAAAAACTGTTTTCAGTATTTAGTATCAATTTTTGAAATGCTCAGGACTTATTCTACCATCTTAAAATAATAAATTATTACATTCAGAATGCGTAAACAATTAAAAAACAGAGGTGGAAAGTTTTATAAATAATTTACATTCAATTTGAATTCTTTGTTTGCATAAATTAAATACCAATAAATAAAAAGTTTTTTGGTTTGCCACTAACTCAATGTAGTTAAGGAGAGATCCGAAGAAAAATATAGCGTTCAGGCCCTTTCGTTTTCAAAAAAGCTCGTTGCTTTATTTTGTTTACAAATATTCGGTATTTTAAAATCTACGAGTTTAAGATTTTAATTAATTACTTTGGGGCAGCAGTTATATAAAAGCTGAAACCTTTTCTTTTGGTAATTTATTCAAACGACTATAAAGAGGTTATGAAAGTAAGTTGCTATGAGAGAAAACTAATGTGAAAACTTTGATTTTAACGTTTTTACTACCTACAGAAAGATAAAATATGAGGTTTTTAGCCATTAATTGAATATTTTGATGCTGCAAACATGGTAGCTTTTTTATTTTTAATAAAAGAGATACTTTTGGAATGTAAAAAATTATCACATTTGTTTCACCTGTTTTCATGACGCTGCCCTGTTGCATTTTATGTATTATAGTGGTTGTTTTATTTTGTTTTATACTGTGATTGAAAAAAGATTTATAAAATAAATAATTATATAAGAAAAGCTTAAATTCTACTTTTTAAAAATATATAGTAGTAATAGTTGAAAATAAGCGAAACACACAAAAAAGTTGAAGTTTAAAAATGCTAATTTTAGTTTTTAAGAAATGCAATTTTTCGGATCTCTCCTTAACTACGCTGAGAACAACCAATCAGATTTGTTTTAAATTGTCGGCTTTTTTTTTTTACGAGTTTGTTTGTTTTATGTCTTAGTTGCATTGAGTAGTATTGGAGATTTGTGAAGCCATTAAATATCAGTGTGGACCAACAATACTTAATCTTCCCAAAGGTAAGACCGAAATGAAAAAAAGAAGTCTAAACAAAATTAAATATATTTCAAGCTTTTATTTTCATAGATGGAACTGATATACCAATACAAAGATCTTTAGAATCATCCCAAAGGTAAAACCGAAATGAAAAAAAGAAGTTTAAACAAAATTTAATATACTTCAAGCTTTTATTTTCATTGATAGAGCTGATATAGCAATACAAAGACCTTTAGAATCATCATAAGAATATTTACAAAGGATTTCATTCTATATCTGTTCAAGCAATATGTGATACCAAAGGCATTTTTATGGATGTAGACTGTAAATGGCCTGGGACTCTTTACAATGCAAAAGTGTTTTTAAATCTAACGTTTAACTTAAGAGTGGTTTTAAAGCAGTATACCTATAACTTACTGACAAAACTGCTGCAGACATTTTTGCCAAGTTCTGTGTTATGTAATAGGTAATCCAGCATATCCTCTTTCAGCATTCTGTTTAAAATAATTTCTACACTGTTAAAACTATAATCCAGTAGTTTTTAACATTATTGTTAAATCTGCAAGAAATCAAATAGAATGTGATTTTGGTCGCCTTAAAGTATGATTAGCTATACTTTTAAAAAATAGACCTTAAACTAGAAAATATACCAGTCATATATGCTGGTTTTGTTCTGCATCACTTTTGTGTGATTAAATGTATAACAGTAGATGAAGAACATGTCATAAAAAACATTAAAGAAATTCTCAATTCTGACAAAGTTCATTCTTTTTATTCTTGTAACACAGACATAAGTTTATTAATAAGTAATAACACAATATATTGTTTAATCCAGTAAGACAAAAAATTTTCCTTGATAAAATGTTTTCTTTTTTTCTGTTTAATTAACCCATAATTAAATTTAGTTAAAAAGTTTTTCAATTAGAAACAACTTTGTTATTGTCTGTCAAAACCTTTAGATTGTTCTTCTTCCAGCTTTTCTTGATCAAATTTAAATCATTTAACCAATTGTATTGCATTCTAGAATTTTAAACTCCCTGTGAATGAAAGTAAGCTGGCAAGCTACTACATGCTTTCAGTTAAATGTTTTATTGATTCACCTATACTTTTTATTGCATCAGAAAATGTTTGATAAGATTCTTTATGGCATTAACAAGTTCTTTACCTCTAGTAGTGCTATATTATCCTTAGCTTCTTTTAAAAGCAACACATAATGGTTATAGCTTCACTTTTTTATAATATGTTTTCTCTTTTCATCATTTACTATTGGCAAATTTGACTCTTTTTTTTTATATAAGATATTGAAGAAATGGTATAATCAATATGTTCTTTTCTTTATCACTACCAATTTCTTTTTTTTCAAGAGTTTTTAAATCAAACTTTCATTTGGTGAAATCAAATTATTATTCACTAAACTTGCACAACAAATCAAAGTGCTATAAAACAATTCTGCAATTGCCATTTTGACTACCTTTTAATAACGCAGTAGTAAACTTCTGTCTTATTTCTTTAACCTTTCAATTACACGATGGTAGCCAACTTTAACTAATCTGCTATTTTCTTTAATATCTTTTTTTATTTTGTTATCTTTATTTTCTAATGTTTCATTTGTGCACAGAAACTTGGAATAGATAAAGGTCAAAAATAGTTAACAAACTTATTTTCATATTTAACAGCCATTTCTTTTCTCAAAAAAGAATACTGTCCAGGTCTATCACTATCAAAGTCTTTGCCAATATATTCCATATTTGATTTGTATAATTGTAGACACTTAGCTAATTGTAAACATTTGGGATTGATAATGAAGTTACATGAGAAAAAACGTCCCAGTCAAATGAGCTTCCTTATTATTTAGACGGGACTCTTGACAGAGAAATCATCTCGATAAAGTGTTTCTGTGCATTTAACCATTATATTGAGATCTGGTCAAATTATCTAGTTTGGGCAAAGCAGGACAAAATAACTTATATAATCAGCTCCTTAGTTAAAAATTTCTATTAGTTTTATTATATGATTTAAATATAATTAGAAAAAAAAAAATTATTCAATTTTTGTTTTTATTTTAATGTATCAGAAGAAAGTTTTTAACATTTTTTCAACTAAAAAAGCTAAATTAAAGTTTCTGGTTAATGCTTTATCAAGTTTAATAGAGATATTAGAATGTGGACAATTTGAATTCCCAGGATAATGCTTGTGTCTTATAAGCTTTCACATTTGTTACATCACTGTGTTCAGGTATAAATTAATATTCACCATAAAAGTTTTCTTTTTAACAATCACTGGAGATTTAAAAAAAAAATACTGGCTATTCATTTACTATTGAAGGATATTATGGACCCTTTAAACTTTCAAGGGAAAAATTTTAAATGGATTTTAGGGAACCCTTTAAATATTTTTCGATTAAATATATTTTAAATCCAATGTTATTATATAGAACACATATAGGGGAGGGGGGAGCAGACTTTTTTTTACAGCATAACTATTACAATATATATATATATATATATATATATATATATATATATATATATATATATATATATATATATATATATATATATATATATATGTTTTTTTTTTATTGTTCACGTTTCGTTGCATGTAATACTTATAATATGGTTGATAATATACGTTAGCAAATGTAATATACGTTAACAAAAGTTTAAAGGTGATCCAAACTTGCATTAATTTTTAATTATGTTGATTTATTCCTCTATCGACATTTTTGCTTCTAAAAAAGTGCTCAATATTTATTTGAAGTTAATATTCTTATTACTTATATTTTGAAAGATAGGCGCAGCAAGTGAAATCAATATTTTTAAACTCACTTTGTCTATCCCTAGTTAATGCAGTCAATAAATGAACTGTGTGAATTTATTGACTAAATTATTAAGAGATGTATAAACTGATCAATATTATTATTCTATATTTATAGTGGTATGTTCAATCTGCATGTGCTCCTCAAGGTACAGGTTTATACGAAGGACTTGATTGGTTATCTAATGAATTGTCAAAGTAGTTAACTCTTAGCTTAAAAAACGTCAATTTTGCATTTCTATGAATCCAAACAGCTTATTCATTGTACTTAGACGAAATTGTATGTGTATGTATGCTCGCTTATCTGTAACATACATATGCTCATAATGAAGAAACGTTACTTTCCAAGCTTACGTTCCAGTATGAGAAAGTTATAATTTTTAAAAGAGTTTCAATGTTGCGCTGCTATGTAGAGATTGAATTTTTTTATTAATTTTTGTCATTGCTTTATAATTATATGGTTTCTTTATTGTTTTAATGTATTATTTTGCATTTTTTCTTGACGTTTTTTCTCAATATTTTATAAATGGGAACTCGTTACTAATTTTAAACTTAAATGTAAGTATGTTACTATAATTACGGTGCGCACATATGTTTTGTTGGATATTAATTTAATGTAAATTTGTTTTTTTAAAATTATTTAATAACCATTAATGTTTCTTTTCATGATAATTATTTGGATATTTACTTTAGTTTTTTTAATTTATTTGTAATACTTTCATCATGCAAATTAATTATGTACACAAGTGACTTTATATAAAGCACCTATAGTCCCTACTCACTTCTGGCAAACATTTCGGTCACGGTCATTTCACAATCGTCTAAGTCTTTTTTCTATTTTTAGAAAATATTTTTATTTTAAATTGCTATTTTTAGAAAATTTTTTTAAAAAATAGCAATTTTTTTAAAAAATTTTAATTTCTCATAAGATGAAAAATATTTTATTTATCTTAACATGAAAAAATGACTTGGGCGATTGTAAAATGATCGTGACGATTTGGTAATTGACTAATATTTTAAACTTCACTTGCCTTTTTTTCTCTATATACTTTATCCTTAATTAATAGATATAATTTTAGTTTCCAAAAAAACAACTGCTAAACATGAATATTTTAAGTAAAAACATGTGCTGAATATGAATATTTTAAAATAAAAGCGTATAATTTTTTGTTTTTGATGCGTTTAAAATTTCGATCAGTTATTTAAACTATGTTTTAAAATTTCGTCAGATAATCTGAGCATTTGGTATCAGCACGTTGTTTTGAGACAAAGTTTTTAGATGGTTCCTATACTAAAATGACCTGAGGAATCCAAATCCGTTGGGACCAGACGGTATCTAATGGACATTTTACGGCAGCTGCATTTTTTCCAAGATGGCGGCCAAAATGACAAATAGTCCTAAATCCAATTGATGCTTTTGTTTTTGCATAGCAATATGTTTATAGTTACATATTTGTATATTGCGCAATTTATTATCGTTTTTTATTATTCATAAGCAATTTATCAGCTATATTATGCCAGAACTTTCACCTAAAAAAAGAGGAATTATTGCTGCATTATATGAACAAGGTTTAGTTCAAAGAGAAATATCTGAAAAGCTTGGTTGTTCATTATCAACTGTAAGTAGAACTTTAAAATATAACAAATAAAAAAACTTTTTATAAAACCGCGTTTTTGTAATGAACTAAAAAGTAGAAAATAATTTTCTCTTGTGGCTATAGGAATTTCTGAAAATTAATTGAGTCGATAGTAAGTGACATGAAAACTTATGATTATGAACTCTTAATAATTACGATAATATTTGTAAAATTTTAAACGAAAAACGTGGTGTGCATTTAACGAAAAAAAAGAAAAGTAAGAAGACCAAAAAACTGTAGATATATACCAAAATATACAGTTAGCAGTGTCAAGGCTCCTGTGTCTTGTATGGTTTGGGGTGCTATTTCTGCCAAAGGACGTGGGCCATTATAGATAATGCCCAAGAATACCACAATAAACAGCAAAGTCTATTTGGATGTTATGAAGGAGAAGTTGCCACCTTTCATGCAGATCTTGAACTGCACTTATTTCCAACAGGATGGTGCGCCATGCCACACAGCCAAAATTGTAAAGAAGTGGTTTGCTGATGAAGGAATTCAAACCCTTGAAAATTGGCCTGGGTCATCACCAGATCTTAATGTTATTGAAAATTGTTGGCATATTATAAAAGTAAAAAAGCCTAGATCCGATAATGCCAAAAAGCCTAGATCCGATAATGATTTAGTTGAAGCAATCAAATCAGTGTGGATCCATGAAATTACACCAGACTATTGTACAAAACTTGTTAACAGCATGCCAAAACGTATCCAAATGGTAATTGACAATAACTATGCTTCCATTAAATATTGAACTTTTATCATGTATGTGCATGTACCTATCATCTTTAAAATTGTTATAAACACTTATTTTATTGAAAAAAAAAATAAAAAAATTTACAAATAAATTGTTTTTCACACAAATATAATGATTTCATAACATAAAATATGATGTTCCAGGACTTTTGCACCACTGTAGTAAAGCTATTATTTTTTTCAACGCATTTCTTAGTGAAGACATATTCAATGCAATTCATGTTCTTGATAAATATTTAGATAGTAGTATAGTAGTAGTAGAGAAATTGCTGCAACAGGTTTCCCTGTATAACCTACAGGTTTTGGCAGCCTTATCTACTTCATACATTAATTTTATTCATATCAATATATATAAAAATTTACAATAAGATATATAGTATAAAGTATAAGTTTGTACTTTATTGTTTTTCCTTTATTGTTTTTTTTTTTTTTTTTTTTTTTTTTTTTTTTTTCAGTTATAATCTCGATACTTATGCGGATTATTTGAAATTTCTGCATCAAGCTTAGCCTTGAAACTGTTAACTGATGAAGCGCATACAACTTCTGACGGCAATGCATTCCAATGATTCACTATTCGATTAGTAAAAAACTGGCGCCTTTGCTCACAATTTTTAACATATTCTCTAGTCATTTTTAGATGATGTCCTCTAGTTTTTATTTTATTTGACTGCCCAACACGAAGGACATGGGGTTCACTCCATGAGACAATGTCTATATTGTTAATAGTTTTATAGGCCTGTATCAGATCTCCCCTAATGCGACGGGTTTCTAAGGACGTTAAGTTCAGTATATTCAGACGATCTTTGTATGACATATGACGGTACGAAGGTACTAAACGGGTAGCTCTTCTTTGTACTTTCTCGATTTTGTCAATATCTATTCTTGATGATGGATTGCTGGCTGCTACCGCAAATTCCAGATGAGGTCGTACAAAAGTTGTATATAGAATTTTAAGTAGTTGCGGAGTCATGTGACTGAAAGTACGATACAACATGCCTAATACACGGTTAGCTTTATTGGTGGCAAAAGTTGAATTGTTATGCCATTTTAAGTCTGGTGTAATCATGATGCCTAAATCACGTTCGACTAAAGTTGATGCAAGTTCGACACTGTTATTGTTATTAGCTGGCATTAAGTAGACATAAAAGTTGTTTTTTTTACCTATGTGCATGATTTTACATTTATCGAGATTAAGTTTCATTTTCCAGGTATTACACCAATTGGCTATGTTGTAGATATCAGTTTGAAGCATTTGTGAAGCTAATGGGTGGTCTAAACGGGCCAGCAGTTTAGTGTCATCAGCATACATTTTACATGGATGGTTAACAATATCGGATATATCGTTCACAAAAATGATAAAAAGTATTGGACCTAATACGGATCCTTGAGGGACGCCACTAAATACCTCAAGCCACGAGGAAACATAATCGCCTATCACGATTCGTTGAAAACGCTGGTGTAAAAACGATTTTATCCAATTCAGGAGATTTCCAGTAAAACCATATGCCTCAAGTTTGTAAATTAGTCTCTTGTGGGGAACCATATCGAATGCTTTACTGAAATCTATAAAAGCTACGTCCATAGATATCTTGTCAGATAATGCTTTTGACATCATGTCAATCGACTCCAACAAATTAGTCACACAAGCTTTTTTATTGACAAAACCATGTTGATTTTTTGAAATAAGGCTATGTTCGACTAAATGATTAACCATAGTGTCACGTAATATTTTCTCCATCACTTTACATACAACTGATGTTAAGGATATAGGCCGGTAATTGCCTGGGTCGAGTCTACTTCCATTTTTAAACAGTGGTGTTACATTAGCTTTTTTCCATACTTTAGGACAACACCCACTATCTAGCGACTTCTGAAAAATTGCGCTTAAAGGTATTGAGAAGCTGTCAGAACAGTTCTTCAGTACATATGCGCTTACACCATCCAAACCAACGGTTTTGTCAACTGATAAATTGCTCAGCTTGTTTTTAACCAGATCTAGCGTTATTTGCTCAATTTCTCCACATTCACCCTTAGGTACTTCTGATCACGGTTTGATCTCTCTAAAACTATTATCAAATTCTTCTACTTCATCAGAATCCCCCTATCATCGTATCACATACAACTACCTTAAAGCTGACTGGGACTCTTTCCGTGATTTTCTTCGTGATGGCCCTTGGGTAGAAATCTTTCGTCTTCCTGCTGACAAATGTGCTTCTTACATAACTTCGTGGATTCAGGCTGGCATGGAATCTTTTATTCCCTCTCGACGATTCCAGGTCAAACCTCACTCTTCTCCTTGGTTTTCCTCACATTGCGCTGCAGCAATTTCTAATCGAAACCGTTACTTCCATATCTATCAGCAAAACAATTCTCCAGAAAACAGACATCTGTTCACTATCGCCAGAAACCATTGTAAAAAGGTTTTGTCTGACGCCAAAGCTCGCTATTCCCAGGTCATTAAATCTCGTATCTCATCACAAAAATTAGGCTCTCGAGACTTCTGGAGAATCTTTAACAGTATCAATAATAAGGGCAAATCTGTTATTCCTTCTCTCTTGTATGGTTCAGACTTTGTCACCTCACCTAAAGACAAAGCTGAATTGTTTGCTAAGAACTTTTCATCAATATCATCTCTTGATTCCACTAGTTGCGTTTTACCTGACATAGCCGTCAAACAGGTTGATCCCTTGCTTGACATTCGCATCACTTCAGCTTCTGTATCTAAAGTAATTTCCTGCTTAGACTCTTCAACAGCTTGTGGTCCTGACAACATTCCTGTTGTAGTTTTGCAGAGGTGTTCTCCGGAGCTTTCATCCATACTTTCTAAACTATTTAACAAGTGCTTATCAGAGTCTTGTTTTCCATCATGCTGGAAAGCAGCATCTGTTATCCCTATTTTCAAAAATTCCGGAGAGCGATCTGATTCATCTAACTACCGTCCCATTAGTCTTCTTCCTGTCATAAGCAAGGTTTTTGAATCTTTAATCAACAAACACTTAATCTCTCATCTTGAATCAAATAACTTACTTTCTGATCATCAATATGGATTTCGGTCTTCTCGTTCTACAGCTGATGTGCTAACAGTAATAACCGATAGGTTTTACCGTGCATTAGATAGAGGTGGAGAGGTTAAGGCTATCGCACTTGACATTTCTAAAGCTTTTGATAAAGTTTGGCATGCTGGTCTTCTCCATAAGCTTTCTTCTTATGGTGTAGCTGGTAACGTCTTTAAGATTATTGAGTCCTTTCTTTCCAATCGTAGTATAAAAGTTGTCCTCGATGGACAACACTCTTCTT